CCGTGGGGAAAATGTTCCATTGATAACGACATCTGCGATAGGCGTTATTATCCATTTCTGGGTACCATTCAAGCAATCTGACACATCTTCGAAATGAAGAGCAATGAATCGAGATTTTTAATTAGTATATGATCAATTACAATACAGAAAAACTGCTCCCAATTCGGAGCTAATACTGAGGGTGTAGAGCTTTCAAAAAAAAGGAGAATGCGAAGTTTTATCTACGCATAGCAAATTTCTTGCAAGAAGGAGCGCGCCCGGCGAAGCCGGGCGAACCCATAAGAAGGAGGGAAGCCCGTCGTTAGCGGGCGGTCCGACTGGTCTTTATGAATGCAGCTCTTTTATCTACTGATACATCATTAAGTAAGAACCCAATATTGTTAGCGGTCGGATAAGTTTTGCCATGAATGATATCGATGCAGAGAGAAATCGTAATCTTTCATTGAATCGCATGCTTCGTTTGGTAGCGGTCGTAAGCAAGAAGTGACCGAATTTCATAATCGGTCCCTGTCAATGTACTTACCCTTCTTGAAAAATTCAGATCAGGTCCAAATTGGCTATTTTTGAGGAAGACCTGCCCTCAGAGGGGCGGAGTCTACACCTGTCACCTACCATTAGTTTTCCCATCTTGCCACCTACATCTGTCAAATTTGAACGACCCAGGTCCAATTTGACTGCTTTGAGGAAGTCCCGCCCCCAGTGGGCGGAGTCTACGCCTGTCACCCACTATTAGTGTTCCCATCTTGCCACCTCCATCTCTTCCAAGTCTGATTACTCTAGGTCAGGAGCAAAGGAGTTGAAGATTTTTGGTGAACTACACTATTCGCGCAAGCCCGCTCCTAGTGGGCCGAACCTAGCTTAGATCACGTGTACCCAAGGAGTTTGCCTCATTCCCCACTTGTTCATCCCCAGTCCCCAGTTGTTCCAACCTGTCTGAGCTGTTCCACGTGTTTCGACGCCCTAGATACAGTGATAGTGATAAGATAGTTATAGTGAAACAGACATACAAACATACAGGCATACAGAAAAACGGACATTTGTGGTTTATATATGATAAGGATTTCCTGCCATCTTTCCGCTCATCTTCCCCAGTAAGGATCTTTGTAAGAGTTTGAAACATGTTTTCTGATAACGGTCCCATTTATCGGGAAAGAGTGAGCGAACGATAAATGGTAATGGCGTTTTTATCGCTGAGCTCTCTGCACCACTTCGCAGAATGGTATTTTCACCCAACCGAACATATGGAAAAGGGGGCAAACATCTAGATAGCTTTACCAGGGTTGAGCTGTTGTTCTCCGATTGTGTGTTGAGCAGGTAAGAACACTCATCTACCCATTTTTGTAAAGAGCAGGTTATAACAATCGTCGATCTTTCTGCGATACAATATGATCTTGATGTCCCAACGCAAGCCCTTTCAGTATTGTCGTAAATGCACTGCACTCTACTTCAAAGTGGCACTTGAACGGTCGGCTTTTCGGATTGTCTGGCTGCTTTCATAGTCCACGACCATTCGCGCGACTGGTCGCGGACCCATCTCGCGAGCGACTGGTCGCTCGATCTGCTCGGGACCGTCCTCAGCGGTACCCATAACTAGCGCAGCCTCCTCGACCGATCGAGCGGTGGCGTCGAGCGACCAGTCGCTTGCGGGGTGGGTCTGCGACCAGTCGCGCGACTGGTCGCTTGCAAAATCGTGGACTATGAAAGATGCCTCTGCGGTAAACTTCCAACTGCGAGGATAAAAAATTTAAAAATTTTGCTTCAGATTAATTCCATTGCCTGAGGGTTTGGCCATTCCACCTTACTAATCGAGATTGTGACTGAGGTGAGCAAAGGGCTGTTATATACAGCAATGCCTAGGGGTGTCCTGTACCAAACCAGAGAAACCTAAATCATTCATGAAAACATGAATATGAAACCCAGCAACATTTTTTTCATAACATGTAAGCAGAAATGGAGAATTTGCATGATAAATACCACCTTTTCATCAGTTTCATGATTTTTTTCCGTTTTACAACTCTTAACACCTCTTTATTCCTAGAGCGTAACACCAGCTATGCACATACGAGTCAATAGAGCACCATGGTAGTGGTGGAGATTTCCGAATATGAGCGAAAAAATCTAGAATTTTGTAAAGTTTGCGGCAGATACTATCAGAACACCCTAATATAAAGAAAAGTTCTTCTCGAAGTCATTCTTTCTTGAGCAGCTGAAGAACTTCTTTTGGTGCACTCAAAAAGCAAGTGCCCTCTAGAAAAATACACAACTGGTCAAAAAGTTCCTGGATCCGAAGAAAAGGTTAGTGGGCTTTTGAAGGAAGATTGGTCAAATTTCGAGAGTGGGCCTAGCTTAGATGAAACATCCATTTGAAAATGTTCTAGAATCGGATAAAAAGTGGTTCAAGGATGGTAATTCAATGGGGTGGTGACACCACTTCGAGTAGAGCCAAGCTCAAAAATTTTCTTAGCTTAATTCAGAAACGTTCCAGAATCTAGGAAGTATATGAGGTTGTTGAAGTAGGGGTGATTAGAATGCCAAGGCGGGCAGGACCTGCTCCGAGGCGAGCATGGGAGGATTAGAAATTTCTAGCCCTGTTCAAGAGCATTTTAGAATCAACATAAATACTCACTAACAATAGGTAAGCCTCGACTGTTTTACTATCTGTTACGTATACTGTATTACTTGAGAAATACTTGCAGAGGTCGGGTCATTTTAGAACAGGTTGGACATAGGGCAATATCAACAGAGCACATGCGAACTCATAGGAGCTCTGCACGGAGAGGGCAGAACATGCATCGGAATGTGTGGTGCGGGCACCGAAACTTCCTGACTAAGTTCCCGAACAGCTCAGACATTGAGGAAAAACGAGCAACAGTGAGGAATGGGTCAAAATATGAAAGGAAGGATGCCCATTCGCAGCGGGCGGAGTGGTGGGCGATGCTTTCCACGTGAATTCACAACTCGGTCCTATTGAAGTCTATTCGAGATTATTGAAGGGAGGAGCTCAGGTCAAAATTTTATAACTTCTTAAAA